AAGTTATAATGGCCTGACCACAATTTCCCACTTGACAGCGGCCAAAAGGCATGCTCAAGTGCCTGGATGCTTAAGAGCTGAATGTATTCATGTGAATTCGAGATGAGATTGCGACTTGAAATGAATTCGTCGCCTTTGTGAGTCCAAATACATACTCTACTTCACTTTACAGTTGCATAACCGAAACTAGTGTATAAAATTTAAGGCAGACACTTAGGCGCACTTTGTACGAGAAACTTAAATACAAGTTTGTCTTATCAATAAGCATCTCTGGCTTATTGGATCGCATCGAACTTGTTTTTGTGGGCGCGAATAAAGTTTTACCAGCCAGTGCAGCCTTTTTGGCGGCACTCTCGGCGACGGCAAGGCGGCTATTACTTTTTAGACCATTGCACGTTTTTAAGTGCATCTAACTGTCATTGTGATTGTGCCAATACGTGAGTTTCTAGAGTAGGCGTTTTTCGTTTGTGCTCCAGTGAACTTTGTTGACTTGCCAAGACACACACGATTGGCCAAAGTTCGCTAAAGTGGACAGAACAATAATTCAATTAAAGTTCTTCACAACTGCTGCAATAAACCCCAACGAGTTTGGCTTGAATCGTCTAACCAACTAAAAGTCATGCACTTTTCATCGCTTATGTAGAAATCGATGGTACTCAATGAAGCGTCCCAATGCTATTCAATTGAACATTTGCAAAAAATTAAACACACACACACACACACACACACAAGTCTGTTGTAGCAAACAAATGAAAAACGCGCCCTCTCGCAACTGCATTGTATCCTCCAACCCCCCTTCTCCTCCTCGCCGCAGTCTCCACCCTTCGAACCATAACAGAAACAAGAGCAATTGCAATTGCAGGTTTCACTCTTCCCCCAATGGAGAGCACAGTCCATTGCACAAACATATCGACATCGACAATGACAAGTACATGGGCATAATAAAGTCTTGGAATTTATTTTTATGTGCATATAATAGAGGGCAGCTAAACCACCCACCCGCCCATACACACACACGCCCCCCTTCGCAGAGAAGTCGCCCAATCATCCAGGCCAGCCAGTTCCCCCCAAGAGACGCATTTCATCTGACAATGCCGAGCATTTTATTTGCCTGCAAAAACTCGAAACTGAGAAGCGGGCCTCTGCAAATACGAGCAACAACAATAACAGTTACAAGACAAAATAAACAGTTGTCGTGGATGGGGTGAGTGGACGTGGAGTTGGCGTTGGAGTTGGAGTTGGAGTTGAAGACCCAGGGCAGAATCAGGACCATGCAATGCAGTGACTTTCTTCTTCGTGTCCAATGCATTGGCCGAATCAGTCTGGCGAAAATGTCCGCAACGAATTTTCGAATTTTGCCCAATATTTGCGTAGTCATTCGAAGATTATCCTAATTGAGAATCTCGGCGTATAATTTTTTGGGGGGAACTTTCCCTTAGGGTTGCATCAAGGCTGATGTCATGACGGGGCTGATAGCCGTGTCGATAAGACTTCAGGTCAAATAGATAGATAGATGTGAATTGGACGGATGTGAATGTGTCTAATGGCGGAAGCATTAAATTGTTGCAGGTTGCAAGTTGAGCTGCATAATAAATAATGAAGTTTATTAAAGAATTTCGAGCTAAGATTATTGATAAAGAAAACAAATTTAAAGCCTATTTGGAAAGAACTTTCTTGCAAGCTGCGAAAATCTCCAGGTTTGTGTTCTGACAACAACTAAATACGCATCTTTGATTCATTTCCTGTCGGTCAGGCAAAAAAATGAAGGACAAACAAAAGACGCCTTGACCACTTTGCTACTCTTCTCTCTCCTGTTCCCCCTGTAAAAGGGATGCTTCTGTCACAATTCATTACGAGCACAAGCTCCGAAGGAAAACATAAATAAACTTTTTGTTTTAGATTTCGTGACAAATGTACAAAATGTACAAGAATAAAGGCAAAGCCATCAACTTACCCCCGACAACGATATTATCACGAGAAGCAAAATATTTACACAGGTCCCGGGCCCAAATGGACAAGTGGAGCTGGCCTGGACTGTCGAAGCCAAAAAGGATTACTTATCGCATATTTTGACATAAGCTAAGTTCATCACTGAAATACGAGAGTCAATTGTCCAATGTCAGAATCGGTTTGGGGGGGTTAAAACCATCAAGCAGGCACACAGTCTGTCAGGCAGACAGACAGACAGATGGACTGATGGACAGAGAGACGACCACTCGCTCGTGTGATGGGTGAATTGTGATAAGCCGAACGTCCGGCACAAAATGGGGTTGAGGGTCCACCACCGATTGCTCCTTTGTTTATAGGCCTTCTACGCCTTGTTTATTTGCATTCGCTTGTTTGTATTTGCACTGAAATCGAGGCAGGACGAACGGGACGATTGCTTCGGTTTTGTTTTGTAGAATTGGCAAAACTCTGTAGCACAATTGACAGCTTAGGTCTTGCAAAACAATTGATGGACATTTTGGACATATGCACGAAACTTGGCTTTGATTTCTTGTACATCTTTAAAATGCGAGTGCTAATAATGCCATATTATATACAAAAAAGAAAAAGGGACACTGGAAACGGATTTAATTCCACTTTATTTGTAGTTTTATTTTTAGGCTTCTTTCCGCCTGCCATTCCTAAATATATGTATGTAGTCAATGGAACATAAAAGGGTTCCAAATCGCTTGGAATCCGTAGAAAAACTTTGCCCAACTTTTCCTGTTTTTGATTGCGTACAAAGTGGAATAGACAGGGTTAAAAGACAAATCAGAAATAAATCCAAATTTTAACAATTCCCAGCGACAGTAAAGTATAACTTAAAGTAATGGCGCTGTTGAAAGCAGTATTTAAAATCAAGATCTTTTGGATTAACGCTGTATGAGGAATGCTTATTTTTAACTCAATATGCAAGTTCTACAAATCATTCTTTGCGGTTTCATGATATTCTACTTATCTATTTTTAATAAATACTATAAAAAACCTGTCTACAAACCTCTTTAATTTTAAACCCCAGCTCGTGAGTTCTGGCAGAGGCTTCGATATGTACGAGTATATGCATAAATGTATATATATATATATATATGTATATATATATATGTATGGCTCATAGTTGGCTGTTGATTCCTCGACATGTTGTGTGGGGTGCGTGCACACACGCTGACACTCTTGGAGCACCGCTGTGTTCCCGGGCCAAACACAAGCCAAAGCAAAACAAAACAAAACAGAACAGAACAGAACAGCAGAGAACAGAACAACAAAAGGCGACAGCGAGAGGCTAGCCGAGGACTCATGATGCAGAGTCTGGCTGGAGGTGGTATTGAGACTACTCTGACTACTCATGCAGAGCAGCGGCTGGTTGTAAAGATATAAAATCAGACAACTGCAACAACAAACAAGCTACAAGAGCAGCCAGGACGATGTTGCGCCCAGTCTAAGGACCATCGCATCGTCTGGCTCTGCCTCTGTGGCTCTGTCAGCTGCAGCGGCGATTTGTAGCGCCACAAGGATAATCACACTTTTAATCGTGATTTAAGTTTATGGCGCTGGGCGCTCGTTTAGTTTCTTGTTACCCGACGCTTTGCCCGGAAAGATTTTCAATTTTTTCCATGGCTTCATCAGCATTGAAGGCAGTCAGGCAGTCAGGCAGGACAACGAGGACCAAGCGCCTTGTTAACTTGCCGCTTTCATTTTTATATTTTTTAATGATTTTTATTGCATAACTGGCGGCGTGTTTGCCCCCATCTGCATCATTGTCCTATGCGGCAATTGCACTTTGCCACATTTTATAGTTGCCAGAGCAGCAGGAGCTGAAACAGCAGCCGCCAATGATTTGTTGATAGTGCGGCAAACTAAGAGAATTACACAGGGAGAAATGCAACTCAACTCTGGTTTTTTCATCTAAATTACTGCCTTGAACATGAGTTATCCAAGTTGAGTTGAGTGGTGCAAGTGGTGCAAGTATCTGTTACATTCTCTTGAAGTTAAATCAAATAAAGCATTTATCTTAGCCGTTATCTTAGCTGTAGCACTGTGACCCATTATTGCACTCAGCCGTAAACCGTTGAAGTTGCCACATGAACCCATCTCAAGCCATAGTTAACCACACCTTTACCAAATCATTTGGCCTGTTATTTGTACCAACTTTCGTTTACCATAAACATACTCCTCTCTGCCTTCCCTGCGCTTGCTCTTACAAATTATGAACACTCACATAAATTTCACTTACTGGCGCAGCGTTGGGTGCCAAGTTTGCCAACCTGGAACTGGGGCTGAGACTGGGGCTGCGACTGAGCTGTAAGCACCTTTTTGTACTGTAATTAGAAGGCAGCAGTAAGTTAAGTTAAAGGCTAGTGGCCAACTTGAGCATTGAGAGCAGCTTCCTGCCAGATCCGGGAATGGGAATCGGAACACTGGGGGGTGGGGGGATTGGCCACTTGAAATGCAAATTGCGTGCAAATTATGGCAAGCTGCCAGCCAAGCAAGCAGGTGAGCAAGTTTTTTGATTTGTTGTGCCAGCACCGGTAAAAATTATGCTAGAGTGGAAATATTACTTAAGACTCGGATGTTGTGTTTTTAATTGCTTGAGTTTCAATTCAATTTGCGTCTAGAGAACGAACAATTAAGATGCACAGTAAAAGAGACTTTGTAGCTCAGCTTAAATGTATGTTTATTATTTTCAAGTTTTATATCTTTCAGTAAAGATAGAAGTATATATTAGTAAAATATAAGTATTATATTAGTAAAAATTCAACCTAAAAACTGAAAAACTAGACACTTGCACAACTAATAATTAATAGAAGCCTATTGGCATAATTCTCATATAATTCTCTCTTCTGAAATCAAATTTTTACATAACATATTTAATAACAATTTGCACAGCTGTAGAGGAAGTCATCAGCGTAGTGCGCCTCTGTACATACTAATAATATCTTTGTTTTAATATAGTTTTAAACTGATTCCATCCTCAACAAAAATTGATCTTAAAACAGTTAAATATTGTGTTGACTCACCGTTATTATGAGTTAGAAAAGCGTTCTCTGCTTCCGATGATGATGATCCTTGTTGCTCATTGTTTGCATTCGATGATGATGATGAGGTGGAAAAGTCATACGGATGATTCAACGTGTTGTTGCCACCAACAGCAGCAGTGGCAGCCAGCGCTTTAAGCAAGTGTGCTGTGCGTTGTTGTAATGGCTGTTGTTGTTGTTGTAATGGCTGTTGTTGTAGTGTCTGCTGTTGTTGTTGCTGTTGCAGCAGTTGCTGCTGTTGCTGTTGTGGGTTATAGGGATTGTTGTAGATGTTGCGTGTGTCTGTCGCTGGCTGCAGCTGCTGCTGCTGCTGCTGCTGTTGCAGGTTATATTGTTGCTGCTGAAGCGTGTTATTAGCGCTCAGACCGTTCACCGTAAAATGGCGTGATTTTGCTGTAATGCAAAAGAGAGCGAAAGAGACAGATATTTAGGAAGTGGACAACTTATCGTGTTTCCCTTAAAACAGCCAGTCAACTAAAAACTTTAACGTTATATTTAACTGCAAAAAAAAAATGGGGCGAGATGTCGCAAAGTTTGAACAAAAAATTAAACTTTTCGCCATGTCATGACGGTTGCGGCGGCGCCAACCTTCCCCCTTAACCCGAGATGTCCCCTCCACCCATTGAACGCTTAATTGCATGCATTGAAATATGCAAATGCGTCGAGAGGGCTGAGAGATTGAGTATGTATTTTAGGGAATGAGAGAGTGAGAGTGAGAGTGAGAGAGAGAGAGAGAGAGAGGGGGAACAGGAGAGATTGAGAGGTTTGTGTGAGCCTCAATTAAACCATTTTCAGTGGCATTCACGAGGTTTGAGGTTATGTTTTTGCTTCGTTTGCTTTGCCACCTATTGTTGCGTTTCACATATGAATTATGCATGGCAATAATAACAACAATAAGAACAACAACAGCAAACGTTGAAAAAGACAACTGTGCTTGTGTGCTTATGTGTAGTTGTTGCTGTTGTCGTTGCCGTTGCTGTTGCTGTTGCTGTTGCTGTTTGCGGAAATGATGTTGACGCGGAAGCTGTAATAATGAAGCAGCAGCCGAGCTCCAACAAAATGTCGTCTAACGAATTCTCGCCTCGTCCCGAAAAGTATGCTAACCCTTTCAATTTTCCAGCTCGTCCAAAAAGTTTGTGCCCTTCAGCTGCTGCTCGTGTTGTTGTTGCTGTTTTTGTTGCTGTTTTTGTTTCTTTTGCATATTAATTATGCATGTTTTGTTGGTGTGAAAGCATCAACACATTGTTTGAATTTTAAGCAACAAGCAGCAACAGTCTGCGCCCACCTTTTACCCAAAAAACCCCCACCAATCCCACACCCAGTATAAATTCTATCACTTCATTGTGGACGCTTTTGTTGGCTTGGCTTTTGCTGGTTAGCAGCTGATGTTGTACCGCGATTCAGCCACCAACTGTGTAAATATTAAGTGTGAAAGATAACGAGCTAATAACTCAGTTAATTTTTGTCAGCTAATGTGTTTGCCGGTGTGTGTGTGACTGTGTGTGTGTGTGACTGTGTGTGTGTGGGTTGGACTATGTATGTATGTCAGCTGGTACAATGTATGTTAAACTTAGATTTAAATGCTATTTTTTATTCGAAGGGAAGATATAAGAACTTATCGTGTTTTATGCTCAGCAATTAGTTGGCTAAGTGCATAATCACATTTAATTGCATCAATTTAAATATCAGTTTTAAACGGAATTCAATCTCAACACTCAATATACAATCAAGTGTGTGTAATTAGCTTAGCATTTTCGTGGGCAACATTTTAATTGTGGGTTGGTGCGTGTGAAATTAAAATATTTTATCGCATTATTTTAATGACTAATGGAATAACTGTGGTCATCCATCGATTGAGTGGCCTCGATTTGTCAATTGCGTGTTCAACCAAAAATACCACGCATAATTTAAATATTTACATTTATAAATTACTAACCAGAGTTCTTAAATACATATATGTACATCTTCCTGCAGGTGAGCTTATAAGGAAGTAAACATGCGCCCAACATTTGTTGGCTGTCTGTTTTGGGGGCTGGTCGCATGTAAATTGTTAATTGGCAGCATTTTAAGCATCGATTGTTAATTGCTGCTTTTCAGGGAAAAGTTTGAAGCGCTTTCGTCTGGCAAAAGTTTTGGAATGAAGACAATAGAACAATTGGAATTGGAATTGGGCTGAGCGAGTGGAGCTAGTGGACTATAATTAGCTGGCATTTATATTGGTATACGACGATTTGCCTGCCATCTTGCCAAAGTATTTCATTTTATCAAGCAATCTGTGGAGACGCCCAAAATCCATTTACGTTCATAAAATAAGCGCCATTTGCCTTTCAAAATGTACCATTGATAATTCAAAACGAGAAAAATGTCTGCCCATTTGCCGTCATTACTTTGTGTATGCCCGGGGGCTATTTTTATATATTTTGCTTTTAACAAAATTTGCCAAATTTACACTTCACTAACACCCACACACACACACACACACACACAAACTAACAACAAGAATTGCAAAAGCATAACAATGGGCAAAGTGTGATTCAGTTTTGGTTCCGTTTCTGGGGCGGGGTGAGGCTAGAAAGTCAAAATATATAAATAAGGCAACATTCAATGCAAATTGGACTATTTACGCAAATTTTATTGCCCAACGTTTTTATATTTATTTCGTTGTTGTTGCTGTTGCTAGTTGGCCCTGACGCCACATGTGGGGAAGTGCTATGTGTCCGCATCCTTGGAGCATACTTTATGCCTTTTATTCTGAATGGGGAAATCGTTGGGCCCCAAGCGACTAGTAAATCAGGCAATTTGAAAGGCGCTTCCTTGACTTTCATTTCAATGTTGTTGTCGTCGTTGTTGTTGTTGTTGCTGCTGTTGTTGATGTTGCTTTTGTTGGTGTTGGAGCTAACCCTAAGCTAACCTTTTGGGGTTACTCCTGACTCGTCTGTCGCACAAATTATGCGATTTCATGTCATTATTTTGTCGCCAAACGACGCGCGCCTCACTTAGCAATTGGCCCAGAGTTTCATGGGCCCGATTTTGGTTGACTGTGGCCTGTGACTGGCCTGGACTTAAAAAGCGTTTGGCAGCAAAATGTGTTCTTTATTGACATTTGGAAGCGTCGCCGATTTACGCGACATCAACGAGTTGAATTTCGGCATGGGCCTTCTGTCATAAAGCTGGCTTCTGTTTTTTTTTTTTTTGTCTTCTTCTGGGGGGATTTACCAATAAATTCGTTCTAGTGAAAATTTATTGACATTGGTTTTTAAACCGCGACGCGTGTTGCCAAACGATTTTATGGCCTCTGATGTTCCGGAAATTGACATTGAGCGTGGGCATAACTGACCTTTAAAATGTCTAAAATATCACAACAAAAGTCGATAGGGAAATTGGGCATATTAAAGTGGCATCAATGAGTGGCATCAAACCAAAGATACAAATGTTATTAAGAGACTTTATTGCTTAATATTTGCTCGAAGCTTTGCTTATTCTCGATAATTATTCCAGGCATAACTTAAAAGTAACAAATTTGTATTAGATAAATAGAAAAGAGAGACTTGTGCAAGTTATGAACTCAAGAATCAAAATATATTACAGAATATATTACATGTTCAATATTAAAGTAAAATTCCCACAATTGTCCGCGCGTAAGAAATAACTCATGCAGGGTGAAGTTTCACTCAGAAATTTTTGTCTGGATACCCAATCCGAAGAAAGTTATTCAAAGAACTTAACAAATCTTTTAACTCTTATCGATTACATCTCATAGTTTTTCAGATCATCTTGTAAATTCAAACAGACGGAAGAAACATGACTAAGTCGACTCGTCTATTGATCAACAGAAAATACAATACAAACTATGCCCATATTCAGTCCAACAGATTGTCATTGTCACCGTTCTCGTTTTGAAGTTTTATAACATATGTTGAAGAGTGAAGCGAGAGGTAATATGCAAAAAAAAATACCAAAAACAATATGCCCCGCAGAGCTCGACACCCACAGAAGCCACCGCGGATTCACCAATAATCAGGACAAGATGACATAAGGCTGAAAAGCCGCTGGCAGTTACCCAGCGACCAAATGAGTTACTTATCACACAAAGAGACCGCCGATGAGTTACAGAGCGGATGAGTTGCGACAAGGACACTGTCATTGTTTATCGGCGCGTTATCTACAGCTTCTCCTGCCACCGATGTTGCCGCTGCTGCTGCTGCTGTTGCTGTTGCTGTTGCATGTGCTCAGCAAACCGCGAAATGGAATCCATAGATCAAGCGGGCAGCGAGAAAAAAGGAATAACGTTGACTGAATCAACTTGCATTGATAAATTAAAAGCAGCCCAAATGTTTGCTATTGCTTTGACATGTTTGACAACAATGGCACTGTGGCACAGCGGCACCGGCATTGAGGGATGGGGTTGTCAAGCGCGGATTTAAGCCGCTGACAAATGCGATTGCCTATAGAAATTGAAAAACCAGAACGAAGCAACACAACACAAAACAACTGAACGGAATACAACCCTTGAGGGTTGTGGGCTAGCTTGGCCTAAAGCATTTGCATTGATTTCAATTAATTTGCTTGTTTTTCTGTATGCTGGCCGCTGCTGCTGCCGCTGAGCCAAAGTGGTCTCTCCGTGTTGTGTTGCGTTGGTTTGCGTGATTGTAATTGATATTTGGCCGGGTACGTTGCTAGATTGGATTTGGCTTGGGTGGGTTTTGCGTCTAATTTAGATTTCAGTTCTGGGTGCTTGCTTCGAGTCAAGTGTTTCTTCTGTGTCTGGGGAATTATGTAAATGCCAACATGCATTAGAGACGCGACAGACAAAATCTTCTTCCTCGGCTTACCTCGGCTCGTAAGCATTGTCGAACTTTGCATTCGTGACATTCTATGGAATTATTCAGCCCACTAACAGCGCTCAGCTGTGCGAATTTCTCGTCTCGTCCAGAGGGTGACGACAACAACCAACAACCAACTGTCATTGACAGCCAGTCCGCTCAGATACCCGGATACAAGGCAAGGTGTTTGGCCAATCCGGGAATCCTCTTTGTCTTGCCAAGTTTTGGCCCCCTTGCAGATTTGTTTGGTTGCGTCAGCAGCGACTCGCTTTTAGTTTTGTGAATTTCAAATGCGGGGACATCTGTTCAAGTATCCCAATGCTAATGCGTTTTATGCGAATTTCTAGCTAAGCATTGCCCTCCCCAGCAGCTTTTCGCATGACTTTATCACACTTAGATACTGGGCTTAGATAGCACTTTAAATGGTAAGTATCATTATGAGATGATTAGAGCCATGAGCTATGTAAATCTACTCAACAAAAGTTGTAACACTGTACAAAATTTCAGTTTTAAATAAATTACTGGCAATGACATGTTGTAATTGATTTTCAATACTTTCTTTTTATGAAA